ATATATAATCTTTTCTACTAGTAAAATTTCTTGAATTGGATGTAGTTGTTGAAAGGTATTATACTGAAACAATATGAACCAGTTCCTACTAGGTTACATAAGAACCTGGGATCCATTATAAGTCATCTTCCTATTATAGATGAATAAAAAATCACTATCCAAAAAAAGTTGGGATCAAGTGTGTCTTGGAAATAAAGGTTCCCACTAGATGATAAGTCTCCTTAGATGGTATACAAGAAGGAAATTAAATCAAGTTTCTTAGATAGTTAAAAAAAGAAAGAATATTTTAATCAGATATTTCTTATTAAGAAGAGATCTTGAGAAACAGGTCTTTGAAAAAAGCTAAAAATAATTTTTTTTTTAAAAAAATTTTTACTTTTCATTTTCTTATTGTCTATTTAGACATTTTTAGATAATTTCTTTATTTTTTTTCAACCTGTCCTTTTGTAATTTCTTGTATTTCAGCGGCTCGGTCAGATATATAATAGTAACAACCTGCTGACAATAATATAGTGAACTAGGAGAATCTTTACCCAAAGATACTGTGAAGCAAAATATTATTCTCAAGGTTAAATTTAGAGACTTTTATGTCTATAAAGGAAATTTCACAAAAGATCAGGTACTATATAGAAGAGGATTCGTTCATATCAACAAGGAGTTTGGTGACAAAATTAGATGAAACAATCTCTCAATTAACCCTCGTGCGACATTTAATCTCCCTTGGCTACAAAAATGACATTTCCAAGGTAGCGCCAATGTTCACTTATCTCCAAAGGAAGAACTAGTTATTGTGGGTTAAGAAATACCTGAAAGATTATTGGGATAAGACTTTTTTCACAGACGAAACTGCTTTTCAGCTTTTCTATAATACTATTGGGTAATAATAAAGGGTTTCCGACTGATTAAGTTGATTCCTAAAAATAGAGAAAAAATCTTTGCATAGAGGGGTTTAGTAGAGCAGGTAAGGTTGATTTATTTTGTTTTAGAGGAATAATGATGAGTGAATTCTATGTAAGTATCTTAGAGGAAAATATTGGGGATATCAAGGCGTTAATAGAAAAAAGATGACAGTTCCAACAAGACAATGATCTGAAACATACGAGCCATGTTACAAAGTTATACATAGAGTCTCATATCCCCAAAGTTTTCGAATGGTCAGCCAATAGTCCGGATTTAAATCTGATTGAAAACTTGTGAGAAATAGTAAAGGTAAATGTCGAGAAGAGAACATCATAGAATTTAAATGAATTAGAACTATTTTTGAATGAGAAATGGAACACAATCTCGGAAATTAAAGTTAAAAAATGTAGTTAAATCTATGATAACCAGGTGTAAGTTAGTAATAAAGAATAAAGGTGGTCATATTAATTATTAAAATTATCAGTAAAATAAACTACAGGTTCTTACCTTTTAAATAAGTGATCATGTGTCATGATTGGATCAACAGTTGTAAAATTAAATGATAAAAATTTTTTTAAAAAATTTTGAATCACCTTGTATATATTATATATTATTTTTTTTTATTTTATTTATACTAAATGATTTTACTTAAATATAGAAATTAAAATAGTTTAAAATTTTTAAAAAATTTAAATTGATTGTTTATCTACTAATTTTTTAACTGCTATTTCTAAAGAAATGTTTTTTTAAACTAATATATATTTTTATTTTCCTTACTTTATTTCTTCTTTTCAAAAATCCAAACTTAGTCATCTATAATAGAAAAGTCAGACTGAATAAAAAAAACTAAACAAATAAATATATTATTTTTCTTTTTTATGGAGATCCCAAAGTTTAGAAAAAAGTGTTAGTTATTCAGCTTCACAGTGGCTTATAAACCAGTGTTAGTAGCAACTTTTTTTCAGCATATAACAAAAATTTTTAATTTTCTTGGGAAATTTTGTCTTAGATTTATCCTAAATTTTTTGTTGCATCAGATTTTGAATAAAATGATTAGTTAAAGATTCAGATTGGTTGATACTTAATTAATAAAAATATAAATAAGAATATACATTATATATAATCAAGTGGATTTGTAATACGAGAAGTGCGGTTTATCCTGGAATGTTCGGAATCATTGCTACGGCAAAAAGCATCAACCAATAAACAATTCTTAGAATCAAAGTTAACCACCTTGTGGTCAAAAATAATCTCATTTAAAGGCGATTAAATAAAATAAATAAACAATCAATGCCAGCACGACACTGTACTAATGATTTATAAGAACACAATTTCACGATTGTTGCATTTTTCTAAAAATTATACATTAACCTATCATTATTAATCACGAATTCGTCAATTTTCATCAACAGCGAGATATCTCAAAAGGGGTGAATCAAAATCTATGAGATGCAGGGTATTGGTTGGCTTATTTACAAGGAAATAAAATAAATTAATACCGGCAAAAATAAGAAATTGGGTTTTGATTGTACGTGTGAAAAATTTTTTCGCATTCAGTGTTTTTTTATTGTGGCATTGATCTTACTTTTTTATATTTAGAAAGTCTTTAAGAATTCGGTTAGTGCCTCACGCAATTTTTTTGTCTGTTTCCTCGGAGATGACGCCCTCCTTCTTGATGTTCTCCAATACATTGGAGTGATTGGATACCAAATAGGGAATGACCGAAGCTTCAAATTCTGTAACCCGTTTGGGATCTACCTTATCCAAAAATCCATTAACGCCGGCAAATACTATGGGCACTTGATGTTCTATGGGAACTGGTCTATATTGGGGTTGCTAATAAAACAAATATAATAATAAAACATTATTTAATAACAACACGAAATATTTGTTTGTAAATACAAGAATGAAAGTAAAGCATAGGGTTACCTTAAGAAGTTCGGTTAACCTTTCACCACGGTTTAACAAGAAACGCGTAGAGGCGTCCAAATCTGAACCGAATTGCGCGAACTGTATAAAGCAATAGAAATTTTTAATTGAAAAACAGATGGATTCAACGATATGGCAGGTACTTACCGCGGCAACTTCACGGTATTGTGCCAAGAAAAGTTTCAGAGAACCAGCGACTTGTTTCATGGCCTTTGTTTGAGCAGCACTACCCACTCGACTTACCTACGTCGTATATCAAGCATTAGCTTATAGAATATTTTTAACGAAGAAAAAAAAAAAAAAAAAAAAAGTAAACCAACAAGATACATACAGATATACCGACGTTGATGGCCGGCCGTACACTAAAGAAACGAAAAAATCCCAGGGTAAACAATTAGCGGCTTAAGTCGGCTTGAGCTAGTATCAATGATACGAACCCTTTGAAGAACAGCTCCGATTCCAAGAAAATTTGTCCATCAGTAATAGAGATGACATTAGTGGGGATATAAGCGGACACATCGCCACCCTGGGTTTCAATAATTGGTAACGCAGTCAAAGACCCGGCACCGAAATTCTCGTTTAACTTGGCGGCACGTTCCAGCAGTCGAGAGTGAAGGTAGAAGACATCACCGGGATAAGCTTCACGACCCGGAGGACGTCGAAGTAATAATGACATTTGACGGTAAGCAACAGCCTGCTTTGACAAATCATCATAAATAATCAAAGCATGTTTCCCGTTATCTCTGAACCATTCACTGATCGCACAACCGGAGAACGGTGCCAAATATTGGAGTGGTGCAGCTTCAGAAGCGGTGGCGGCGACAATCGTAGTATATTTCAATGCATCTACGGGAAGTGATTATCGCTCACACGTTAGAACTAGCGAATCTTATTAGGATCTTACTGACGATGAACTTTACCGTTCTCCTCCAAAGTCTGAACCAATTGGGCAACGGTGGAACGTTTCTGACCAACGGCAACATATATACAATATAGTTTCTTGCTTTCATCGTTTCCATCGTTCCATCGCTTTTGGTTTAAGATGGTGTCAAGTGCAACAGCAGTTTTCCCAGTTTGACGATCTCCAATGATCAATTCTCGCTGACCGCGACCGATGGGTACCATGGCGTCAACCGATTTAATACCGGTCTGCATAGGTTCATGAACGGAACGACGAGGCAAGATGCCAGGGGCCTTCACTTGAACACGCCTTCGTTCCTTGACTTCCAATGGCCCTTTACCGTCAATCGGTTCACCAAGAGCATCCACCACACGACCTAATAGGCCCGGTCCAACTGGCACATCAACGATTTGTCCTGTGCGCTTAACTGTGTCACCTTCCTTAATAAATCTGTCGTTACCGAACACGACAATTCCCACATTGTCGGGTTCCAAATTGAGAGCCATACCCTGTAGGAAATCAATTGATAAAAATAAAACATCCAATCTATCTATCAAATGGCGGGTGTGTTTAGATCACATATTTTCGGTTATTAAATATCATGCCTTGAGACCACTCGAGAATTCCACCATCTCCTCGGCTTGTATATTTTTGAGACCATACACACGGGCAATACCGTCACCAATGGACAATACACGACCGGTTTCTTGAATGTCGCTGCTGGTGTCAATTCCAAGTATACGCTCTTCCAAGATAGATGAAACTTCGGAAGTAGCTTATATTTTGTGAGAATTAGAAAATCATTTGTCAGGTTGATTTTGTCGCGCTCTGATTGGAATTTTCGGTAATTCTGACTGTTTAATTATAAATTTGCTGCTTTCATTGATACCTACTCGGCTTAGCAGTTGCAAATCTTCGGGTAGCAATGTTTACCGCTACACCGCTATTGGGCTGAACCTGTAATTAATATTTTTTTTTATAAGTAAAAAATTGAAATTCAAGAATAAGGGTTCTCGTTAGCTTTGCCTTTTCGGTTGCTCATTAAAATTTTTCATCTGAGTGCAAATGATAAACAGGTATCCGTGAACTAATAGAATCATTCAGTTTGCACCCATTTCCTTAGCTCTCATTACCACACCAACTCGGCTCCTCGCAAATGTAACTCACCAACCCCAAAATCTGGGTTCAAATAATCAGATAATAGTGTAGAACACATACAGAGGGTATGGCCCGACGGGCTATAGTGGCAACCAAGGGTGAAGCAGCGCGCACAACATTCCTCAACATTGCGAATTATTTATATAGTTCGTTAAAAAGGAAAAGAGTAAAATCAAAATTTACACAAAAAAAAAAAAGTTTTTCAGATGATTGAATATTGCGATCTTAAAATATGATTGGGTGAATTTTGGCATGTGTGGACCTCTATAACAGGACTGGTATGTAGTAAACGAATTCTCCACATTAGCTTCATTCTCGGATCCTTATGTATGCTAATACATAAATCACCTTTTTTTTTAATTAATTCCTGTATAGTCCACACGCATTGGTAGTACTATAGTTAAAAAATAAATAATCGACTTTTCAAGATTTGTTGGTTTTTATCGACCAATCAAAAGTTAAGATAAGAAAAATCTCGCATTTTGGTATTTACTGAAGATGATGTCGAACATTTTTACCAGAACGAGGATAATTATAAATAGTCGGGCGATTTTCAATAAACATAAAGAAATTGGACGAAAATGTTTATATAATACCCTAGAATCGAGTGGACGAAATGACTCGTTTAGTTCACAAAGATTTGCCAAAGAACGATTGCAAAACAATCGATCATGGAGCCGTAGAAGTAGTGAAGACGAAAGAGTAGACTGGGAGAATGAGGGTGAGGATTACCGAAAAAAAAGCACCCGTAGCAACAGCGACGATAGATGGGGTCAATTATCAGTTCAAGGAGATTTTGAGAGAGGATATGAAAGAAAAAAACGGGCCTGGGTAAATAATGATTATTCGATGGAGGTTTATCGTGACAACAGTCTCAAATCAACTGATAAAGACTCGGTTGGGATGATGAATTCTGACTTTGGTGACGTGGGTAGCTCTTTGCCGCAAAAGGTAAAGAGGAAAAAGAAGGAGAAACCACCGCCGCCACCGAGCATCGAAGTTCCAGGTTTCGTAAGAATTTCAGGAGCTAGGCAGAATATGGTCGTTTACTTTGAAGAATTAAGGCGTGAAAGTTCAAAAAGGAACAAGTTTCGATCGTTGTTAATACACGGATGCAAACACATTCAGAGTATGATCAAACAGGGAATTGACATCAAGAGTATTGGAATTACCACGGCAGAGGGTATAAAGTCACTTGACGGACTCATGGGTGGATCTCGGGAGATCTTCAATAATAAAGAAAAATTTCCGGCAGAACGTTACTATGTAACTGACCTAGAATGGACGCGCAAGATTTTGGGCAGCGGTGCCCGTGTGGATGCACGTGAGGCATGGGCCGAACTGCCATTCCCAAATATTCCGTTTCCGTCAGATATAAAAAAGTTATTGGTGTTGGATCATATCGCAGATCCGGTGGACATGGGAATGTTGATACGCTCCGCCAAAGCTTTACGCTGGGATGCTAGCTACTTGATTGCCGGCACAGTTGACTTGTATAATGAGACAGTCATTCGAACATCACGATGTGAATCAGTGACGTGGCCATCAAAAACCGGATTCTGGCATGACGCATATGAACTAGCGAAGGAACACAACCTAACCTTAGTGATGGCCGACATGTTACCTCGGGGAAAGGCGTTGGCAAAGAGTTCGACTGGACTTTGCTTTTGGGATCCAATGACAGAAGAGGTGATCAATGAATTGCCATCACGCATAGCACTTATACTTGGTAGCAAGCTGCACGGGGTCACTTATCGAGACGTGAGGAGTGGCATAATGCGTGTTTCAATCCCAATGCATGATGGTGTAAGTTCATTGAACGTTGGGATGGCGGGCAATATTCTTATGCACGAACTCAATCGTCTGATGGACACCGGTACTAAGGCCATCGTTGATACAAATAATTAGAAACGTTAATATGAGTGCATGATTGTTTCAGCAAAATTAATGTATGCTAAATCGCTTATAATCAATGCGATGAACAGATTTTCCGATAAGGGCATAATACATTGCATATTTAAAATCTCACATCTCTTTCGCATCATCATACTTGAATGATCGATTTAGTAACGAAGACCAACCAAATTTATTATATTTTACAAATTCAAAAGAAGATACTAAAAGAAAAAAATTTTTTATAAACTGCTAACCAAATTGTTATTTATCAAAGTCTTCTGTCGGAAAAAGAAGAGGTAAGGGGTATCGTATTTGTAGTCCACACCCTCGGAAATGATGTTTTTTAGCGAAGTGGTATTGACGAGGTTGTCATTAAATTGCCACCACGTGTCGTCCTCTAGAAAAAAAAAAAAAAAAATTTTTTTTTTTTAATACATTTTTTAATCAATATCAATCGTGTCAAAGAGCCTACTCGGGATTTGTGACGTGCGTTACCTTCGTCCTTGGCATATGTGTAATAATGGCCATACTCTGCGGATGAACCGGAATGTATGACAATCGCTGATAAGTCGTAATCGGCTCTCCCCATATTTAAATCATCGTTATCACACATGCTCGTACCACCATTAATCTCTTTATATATTCTATCTTTATCTATAGAGTTCTTTATCTCACCATTTGTGACACCATTCGTCGTGATACCGTTTGAATTCCCGTTGACACCATTCTTCCTCGCTCCAATGCTGCCATTAACATATTGACTTATTTTATGTTTTGTGCCATTTGAACTCACTTTTGAAACGCATCCATCACTCTTCTTAATATACGATAACGACAAGGTGTCCTGGATCAAAACCTAAAAAAAGGGGGTCCATCATTAACACCCACTCAAATATATAAAATACAAATTCTGGGGGCCTTACGTGTGTCATTATTTTGATCCTCCTCGCATATCTTTTATTATATTCAAATCGATTGAGCGATAATATCAAATACTTTGGAGGGATCATTATTCGTGTGGTCTGTTTATCGAAATGTCAAATTGATTAATAAACGAATGCTTACCCATACCGAATAATATTTCGGAACACCCACCTTCAGTGCATCTCGTAAACCACCACATTTCTCGCAATGATATTGATTGTCTTCATCTAACCTTTCTGGCGAGAAGAATTCTGATAACAAGTTGGAGAAAGAAAGATTTTTGGCTGAAGAGAGATCATCAATTAATCGTTATTCCAATGATGAACACTTTTATTGCCTGTGCTTCGCAAGGAAAGGAATGTCTTACGTGAGTTTTCGACCTGAAGAGATAATGTTAAATCATGAAAATCTTCCTATAAAATGAGTAATCGATGGTGAATCTAAAGATCTCGTACAATGAAGGCCTATTAAAAATCTTTGGACAAAATATAAACCTTTGTTTTTGATTTGATCCCACATGATAAACATTCAATTGTATTGACCAAAACACCACCAAACGGAGAAATCGGAATTTCATTATTATCGAGTTGATCGGGCGGCAGGTGACTTTGTTCGTTATCAAGCCTCGGCCTTTTGTTAGAAGCTGTTTGTTTCGATTCCTCCTCAATTTGACTGAACAGAATTCTAAACACAAGAAAGAAGTTTAATAATCATAAAATAGAAAGTTTGTTCACGCCATTGAATGAATTATAAGTAACTTGCTTCAAAAACTCGTGACAATCCTGCTGACGACCATTATTGAGCCATTTAGGTAAGGTCTTAAAACAATCGAGAAAGTTTTGGGATGAAATTAATTAATCGCACGAAAGCAATATTGTACAGTATTTCTTTTCACGGGTTCTTTCTAACCTCTAGCAAAGATGACGGCGAGACATAAGTTTTGTCCGACTCCAACAATAGAAAGCACTGCTGAAGTTGATACAACGTCGACGTCCTTATTCTAGGACTAAGCGTAAAATCAAAAAGATATTGAAGATGTAAATATTACTTGCAGAACTTGCAGAAGTACGATGAAGAATTCGAATTTACCCTACCACGGTGCTCGTAATATGCGACGTCGAAATTCCGCCGTATTAAATAGTGCCTGCAATCGTGAGAATCGTATAATGAGCTTGAGTGCTCAGGAAAAAAAAAAAAAAAAAAAAAAAAAAAAAAAAAACTAAATAAATATAAAGAGTACCTGAATCACACTGTTCATAAAG